GGGTTAGACTGTTTTCATTTGCGCAGGTTCCAAGGAAACATCACATCATCATTCTTCCGGGGGTCCCTTGCGTGAGACAGGACGGTCAAGTCTTCAAGCGACCGCCTCTACAACTGACGCCAGACACGTGCGCGCTCTCAAAATCCCGTTGCTTTCTGACGCCGCATCGTAGCGCGTCAATCGTCGCTAAGTCGGGACGAGGCTAGCAGGAGAAAAAAAAAAATGGCTTGCAAAGACACCCAGTTCTCATTTTATCTCGCGTTCGGACGCTCCGACATCGTCCACGTGGCTGACGGACCAGGCCGGTGGGCGATGACTAGGTCTCCACAATCAAACTTGAAGGTCAGAGGTCAGAGGTCACAAATATGGCAAATGTCGAGCTTATCAAGACTGGAGCTGCGCAGGGCGGGATGTTGATCTATCTCAAACACAGGGAGATTCTGCTGATTTGTGTGAGCCACAAATGCGTAGTTCGCCCCTGCACCTGTTTACTCAACCTTGCGACGACATGGCGCAGGTGGCCTGACTGTGGCTGTGCCCACCTTAAGAATTAGCTGAGGACGCCGTTGATGAGCCACGCTGATGTCCATTGTCCCAGTTCATTTCCACCCGGCCAGAATGATAGCGTCAATCCAGCTGTTGGAGCATATGCATCTAGATGGCATTGAGAGGGTTGAGTCCTTAGTGACTACACCGAGCAGCATGGCCAATATCGCACAGTCGCCATGTATGTCGTCTCTGCCTAGTGCATTTTTCGTAAGACAAGCGCCAAGTAAAATTTGGGAACTCGTGGCCATCTTTGAGACAACTGGCTACGTCTCTTCTGAGCATTACGACAATCACCTGTTCTCTGCCCATACATCAGGCGCCAAACGAGACGATACTGTGTCACACCTAAGCAGAAGCGGGGGCGGAAGTTCAGGGTCCTGGCCTAGCCCGGTGTTATCAGTATCGGTACCACTCTCTCTTCCCTGTTGGAGGGGTCTCGTCATACAAGTATCACGTGATCCTTCTCGGATCCCTGGAATAGCTCCACTCTGCAACGGATCTCGCTGCTCTGACTGGTTGCGGCATCGTCATCCGTACCTACCTCCACTTTCTGGTTCGCAAGTGGAAGGCAGTGCGGTTGGTTGCAGCTGCGCTTGCGTTGCCTGCACGGCCCCCATCCATTCCACTGACCTTCCCGGCCTTCCGGTCGCCACATCATCTGCCTTCTACAAACCCCATCACATCCTTCATTCAACATCAACAACCACACATTGAAATTACCGACTGTATCGCTGCCTTATCCTTCGAAAACCTACAGAAAAGATGCTCTGGAAGCACTTCACAGCTGCCGCGGGCCTGGCAGCCACCGCCGCCCATGCCTTTGTGGTCCCCGAGATAACCGGTGCCGACAAGGACATTGTGAACGCCCTCCCTGTCCACGACTCCCTTCCCTTCGAAATCACCGACAGCTCCGTCGAGACGAGGAAGCTGAAGCTCGACTGCCCTGGGTGCCCCATCAAGCTGGGCTTCGACACCAAGACGGACGTCAAGAACCACCTCGATCTTGTCTTTACTATCGACGGCAGCGGACCTGTCGACAGGCTGCTGGTGAACGACTTCGCCCTATACCCCAAGACCAGCTCATGGTACTCCAGCTTGCGCGCACCCCAGGTACCCGACTTCATCAAGGAGGCCACCAAGCATCGCTTCAAGGGCACTCCGCGCACTCCCCAGCTTGGCTACAGCCTCAGCACTAAACCTTTGGCTAAGGAGGACGCCGACCAGCAGCTTGAGCTCATTCAGCTCGATTTGCAGGTTATCGAGGTTGGCAACTACTTTGTCGATGGCATCCCCAATATCAACGTCAAGCTCGTCAAGACCCCCGCAGGCAAGCTCATGATCGCCGCCATCGACACCGTTGAGACGCGCCCCGCCGACCAGACACCCGAGAACGAGTGCCGCACCTTCGCTTGCAAGTTCTTCAAGAGCCTCAAGAACATGCGCCCTGGATGCGGTAGGAAGCATGGCATGGGTCATGCTGGCCACCACACCGGCCACCACGGGCACCACGGCCATGAGCACATGCGCTCTCACCACACCTGGAGACAGCTCGCCAAGATGATCACTTGGGGCATCATTCTACCCATCTTCGTCGGCCTCATTGCAGGCGTGACCGTGAGCATGTAAGTTCAACTTTCCCCGCTCCCACACAAATATTCGCTGACCACAGAGCAGCATCGGTATGGCTGTTGGTACTGCCATCGTCTGCCTCTGGCGACTGGTCGTTCGCCGCGAATCCCCGTGGGTTCGCCAACAGTGCCGTCGTCGTGCCCAAGCCACCCCCAAGGCGTCTCGATACGAGGCGGCGGTCGCCGAGGAGAAGAGCGGCCTCTTGGAGAGTCAGGCTGATCACGACGTCGCTGATCTCCCTCCATATGAGGAGGAACCCAAGGCAACTCAGCCTTAAGTTGTTGTGCGGTTTTCACTACATGACGCTTCTCGACATAATGACCGGACGACCACAAAAAGGACCAAATTGGACTTGCGATTGATTTTTTTCTCTTTACTTTGCCATTTTCCATGCTAGATAGACATCCGACCCATGCGACATGGTTCGCGAGGGACGGGCGTGTCGCCGACACTCCTTTCCAGTATCCTCCCTCAACTAGCTCTCTGTACAGTACAGGCGTATACCCACATTCTTTGAAATGAAATGAACTTCTGCATATGCACAATGCAAACAACGCCTCGATAGTCTGGACGTGACACACGTACCTGCCGAGCTCGTGAGAGGAGAGGGATGTTTGCTGACCGTGTGGCCGTGGTGATTTTGTCAGGGAAAGAAAGCAACAGAGGACGGACGCTCGGCAGTGAACACAGCCTATCAAAATGCACATAGTTGTTGAATCATGTTATCACAAAATAATATTACAATCACTCTATCAAGGTGGCGAAGAATCAACAGGTTCTCCCGTTCAGAGGGCAAGGCGCACCTACCGCCGGCCCCGAATTGCAGCCGTCCCCCGCCGGGCCTCGTCCTCAGGCGGCTCCGAGTCCAACACGCTCCTATTCCCCGTCCTTTCCGAAACCCGTCGCCGTCCGGGCCATCTCTTCAGACAGCTCCAGCATCGTCTTGTTGCTCATGATATTGAAGACGGAAAGGCTGGCACCCACTTTATCGAGGGCCCATGCACGGACTTGGACTGCTGTCAAAGAATCCACCCCATAGTCCTTTAGAGGTTTGCTCTCATCCATCTGGTGAA